CTTTAGTGGTAGGCCTGTCTGGAGTTGGGTGCCCGATTTTGCTAAATTAATAAAGCTTTGCTCTTGCTAAATTGAGTTTATATTGGATTTCTCTACTGCTCGTTGGGCTAATACTCGAGGTAACTCATACAGGATAAGACAGTCCCATCCTCAGCTCTCCTCTTCTCAGGAGAGTCACTGGGGATGGTCCTGGTCAGGAGTTTATGGTGTTCCACCAGTTGTCAGAAGGAGCCGAGACAGTGTCCAGGGCACTGACAGCATTGGGCACTGACCACGGGCAGCATGGGGTATGGATGAGATACAGGGAGATAGATGTTGGGGAGAACTAGGGGGCTGAAGTCACAGAGACCTGGCTCAGCCACTGACTGGCTCAACCTCTTTAGAACTCTGATTCTTTATTTGGGTTGTTGTAAAGATTATTTACACTTAAATTTATAAAGATCTTAGTATGGTCTCTGGCTATAGTAAGTAGGTGCTCACGCAGTGGGGCTCACGATACTGGGCATCATAGATCAGGTTCATGTAGGTCTCCCCAAGGTCTCAGTGGCCCCAGCTGGAACTGGACGGGGCTGGACTAGATGCTCCAAGGTCTTTACCAGGACAGTCTCTGCCTCTACAATTAAAACCGGCAGGGTGTGGGGAAAGGGGAGGAAAGAGGAGATCTGAGCGTTCAAACAGACTAGATGTGCTTAAAATTCTGTGATTAATGTTTGAAAAGACACACAAAAATAATAATTATCCATGTGTGGCTGGGAATCTTAGGTTCTTTCATTAAGTGAGCAAGATTGCCAATGATGTAGCATTTAGACACATAAAACCAATCACTGCATTTCCAGTGGATGGGAAGCCTTAAGAAGAAAGATTCAGAGAGAAAGCCGAGCTACACAGATTCAGTTGCTCAGACCAACCTAGTTCAGGTTGGAAGCCTCTTTTGTGATGCACTTGTTATCACAATTTTAAAATCAGTCACAGGACAGGGCAACAAGGGAACGAAAAGCAAGTGACATGGACAAAGATGACCTGCAGGACAGCTAAGGGGAAGACTGATAGGAGCATCAGCTTGGCTTTTCAGGAAGGAAGTGGCAAAGGTCAGAGGGTTGCAACTGGACTCTGTGGGTTACTTATGGAGAAAAAAAATATATCAACATCTAAAACCTTGTAATGAGCATCTAGAATGTAGTGTCAATGTCACTCTCCAAGGTCTGTGTTGTTGTTAAATGCCATCAAGGTGACTATGACCCACAGCAATCCTATGAACAACAGCTCTGAACCTTGTCCTGATTCCTGAGTTAACCTGTCTCTAACACACCTGACCCCATTGCCACAGTCACTCTATCGGTTTACTTCATTCAGGGTCTTCTTCTTCTGCGCTGACCCCCTACCCTTCTAAGCATGATGGTCTTCTCCAAGGACTGGTCCCTCCTGGCGACAGGCCCAAAGTATGTGAGAAAGAGTTTCAAAATTTTTGCCTCCAAAGAGCAAACTTGTTCCACCCTCTCTGGGATAGACCTATCTGTTCTCTTGGCAGTTCATGATATATTCAATTCTTGTCTCCAGCACCACAACTCAAAGGCATCAACTCTTCTCCCAGCTATCAGATGCATAGACAGCAATTGAAAAGACCATGGCCTGGATCAGGTGCACTACGGTCTCTAAATTAACACCATTCCTCTTTAGCATCCTTGACAGCAGATATTCCCAATGCAACTTGTCTTTTGATTTCCTGACTACATGGGCCAAGAGTTGATTGTAGATCCAAGCAAGATGAAATCATTAACAACCGCAATCCCTTCCCCATCTACTATGATACTGCCTCTTACCACAGTGGTGAGAATCTTTGTTGATGAGTCTTCCTCTAATCCTGATGCCACATTCCTCCTCATAAAGTCCAGCCTCCTGAATGGTCTACTTTGCATGTAGACTGAAAGGTATAGAGAAAAGATGCATCCCTGACACACTCCTTTCTTGATTTTTAACCAGTCAATGTTCCCTTACTCTGTTCAGACAACAGCTTCCTGATCTACATATAGGTTTTGCCTGAAACCAATCGGGTGTCTGGGATTCTCATTCTTTTCAACATTGGCTACGATTTGTTGTGCTTCACACGGCCAAATGGCTTTGCATAGTCAATACAACACAAATAGACATCCTTCTGGTGCTTTATATGTTCAGCCAAGATCCATCCAGCATCAAGCAATGATATCCCTGGTGCCACGGCTCTAGGTCCCTATTGATATGTACTGTTTGAGTCATTTTTAGATAATCATCAGCAAGATTTTGCTAGCATGGGATATTAGTGATATTGTTTGATAATTTCCACAGTCTGTAGGCTCACCTGTTTTGGGAATGGAAATAAATATGGATCTCTTCTAGTCAGTTGGACAAGGTCTATAGCTTACTTACTGCTCTGTGCCAACACCACAATTCAAGAGCTTCAATTCTTCTTTGGTTTTCCTTGTCTAATATCCAGCTTTAACATGCATGTGGAGTAAAAGATTATTCTGTGGTTTGGGTTGGGCACATCTTCGTTTTTAAACCTTAAAGAGGTGTTTAACAGCAGATTTTCTCAGACAGAGCAAAGGTTTCCCCCAATGAAGAGTCTTCATTTGTTGATACGGCAACGTTAAGAATGAGGAGAAACAGCTGCAAATCCCCACTAATAATTGAAACATGAAATGCATGAAGTATGAATCTAGGAAAATTTGAAGTTGTAAAAAATAAAATGGAACACATAAAGATTGACGTCCTAAGTATTAGTGAGTGAGCTGAGATGACCTGGTATTCACTATTTGGAATCAGACAATCATATAATAGACTATGAATGACACACTGAAGAGGAGTGGTGTCACATTCATCATCAAAATGAACATTTAAAAATCTACCCTGAAGTATAATCCTGTCAAAGAAAATCCATTATTAATACAACTGTTAGTCAGCTGTACATACTGACCACCAAAGCCAAGGATGAAGAGACTCAGGTTTTCTCCCAACTGTTGCAGTCTGAAACTGATAAAGAATGCAATCAAGATGCAGTGATAATAACTAGTGACTGGGAGACAAAAGTTCAAAATAAAGAAGGACTGGTACTTGGAAAATATGGCCTTGGGGACAGAAATGAGACCAAAGAGCAAAGGAGAAGCTTGCTCAACTAATGATTTTTTCACTGCAATTACCTTTAAAAAACTAAAAACGAAAACCATGAACAATGATTATACACATGGACGTTGCCTGCTAGAACACGCAGGAATCCAACTGTCTACACTTGTGTGGAAAGAGAGGGTGCAGCAGTTCGATACCAGCAGTCAAACAAGGCCAGGGGCTGCTGGGGGACAGACCATCAATGACTTAAATGCAAACTCATACTGAAGCTCAAGCAAATTAAAATAACTCCATCAAAGACAAAATACAATCTTGAATTTATCCCAAAATAAGCTTTTAAGTTGCAACTTTTCAGTGCCTTGCACATTCTATTTTAAAACACTCCAAATTTCACACAAAAAATGTGCTTTGTGTGTTTTCTTCATTTTGCAATATGCTCAGTATGTCTTTGTTTTTGTTGTCGTTAGTGTGTGTCTCTGCTAAATGCAGCCTCATCCAAATGCAAATCCTACCTGCAGAGTTCTTGGGACTTTAATTTCATCCACTCACTCACTCTATACAGATGTCCTGCTTCTGTGCAAGGGTCTTAGAATCCAGCCTCCACCCAATGACTATGTTGACTATGAGAGAGAAATTACAACTTTATACACTAGAAGAGAAGATTAAGATTGGAAATCTGAGACATTTTAGAAGAAACAGTCAGGAGTGAGAGATAAACTTTGAAACCTACATGTTTGGAGTTTACTCACATCCACCAGAAAGAAAGGTAGGTACAGGAAGGAAAGGTAGGCTTGACTCCTCATGTGAAAATGCAAAAAGCCTTGAGTGCATTACCCGACAATCAAGGCTAAGACAATTAAATTGTGCTGACTCATTAACCTGTATAATTTGAAAGATGTGAAAAGCCTGTGAAATTGTTGACACAGATTAGTAAATAAGCACATATAAACGTATTACCTTATTTGCTGGTTAATCTAATGCTGATAACAGCAAAGAAGGCCTGTGAGTGAGGAAGTTCAGGGAATCAGAATTATGTGAGGGTTATGATGTCCATTCCACATTCCTCACTTCTTCAACCAACAAATTCTAATCCCACGCAAATTCTGGGAGTTCCACACAGCGCTGGAGCCAAAGAGCTAGCGCTATTCTCCAGAGCCCTCACGCTCCTGCCTTGCCTGGCTGTCTCCAAATTCCAAATCCCACCGTGTCTCTCTCACTTCCCCCTTCCCAGACCAGTGTTGGGATACATAATAAGAAAGTTACTTTAGTATGGGTACATCTGAACACGACATCAACAGGAAAACACTAGAATTTCAAGCTGCATTCTGGAGAGGCACCAGGGATATCATCGCTGATGTCAGATGCAACTTAGATAGCAGTTATCTAACATTTACTTGTGCTTTCTTACTACTCTGTAATAAAGAGCTCCATACTGGCGAAATTTGTGTGAAAACTGTGTACTGCACATTAGTAAGTAAACAAGACGGGTTTATGTTGCTTATAGGGTAACCACCCCTGGACACTGATCACATTGGCGAAAGGGAGGACCCATCCGTTATCCAGGACTGCTTGCGCGCCCCTCGAGGTCCTAACACCTCCTACTCTCACTCCGCTTGATGCTTGATTGGATCTATGTCCAATGTAGGAGAATCAGAAGGATCCTCCCGCCTGTGCCCGCCCACCCACGGTCACTGCTTGCTCAGAGAAAGTATAGCCTTTGCCACTACTCAGGAAGCCTACCTAGTGGGGCGAATACCTGGCACTCCGGGATTCCTTTTGGTTCAAACTCAGATCGCACTGGGACAACGATTTGGACTGGGAAAGAGGGTATTTCAGGAAGCCAGGAGCATAAGGGGTCACGCCCAGGCGCTTTAGGTTAAGGTGAGACCTGGGTGCCTTACCCGGGCATGAGGCTGGGGGCCACGTGGGCGGCATTAAACTCGGTCAGCAGGGTGCCGCTGAGAGAGGACATGGTGGGAGCGGCAAGAGCGCAGCCAGTGCCCGCGCTACAGCGGCGCTCAGAGCCCAGAGCCAGAAGGTAAACAGCTCGAGGGTAACCCGGCAACCGCCCGCGCTCCTGGCAACTGCCAGCCAAGCAGGTGTCAAGCCCCACGTTGCCGCCACCTGTGGGGTCTGCATGCTCTTCCTCCTCCTCTTCCTTCTCGGCCCTTTTCCAGAGCAACCCAGGGCAAACCGACCACAACAAGATAAAGGAAAAGAACCCGTTTGAAAAATGGGCACAGGATATGAACAGACACTTCGCCAAAGATGACATTCAGATGGCTAACAAACACATGAAGAAATGTTCAAAATCCTTAGCTCTAAGAGAGATGCAAATCAAAACAACTATGAGATATCATCTCACCCCAGTAAGAATAGCAAAATTTAA